AAGTTTGCAAATATTGTGCTGTTTTTTCTGCCTTTAATTCGTCAAATAACAAATATTGTTAATTTTATAGCGAATATGTTTTTGATTCAGTTTCAACCAACGTTGTGATGATGGTTAAAGATTAGTGATACATGTCCTAAAATTCAAGCTAAATGCTCATGATTAATCATTAGTAATTACTCATGGAGTGGTATTGACAGTAGGCAACATCGTAGGCTGTATTTAAATACGTCAGGCGGTGTACACATTTAAGAGATGAACTAGCCTATGGCTAAAAATCTCTCAAATAAAGGATAAAAAAAAAAAGGTGTACACATGGTGGAAATGAATGTAAAATCGAGTTAGAAGCAGAAGGACAAGGCTAGATGATCAAAAGGAAGGCCAGAAATCAAAAACATGGATACCAATTAGGCCCCTGTCATTAATCATTGATTATTACACCCTGTGGCAAACTGCCTGACAATTTTCTCATGTGACAAATTCTTTTTGCTCTTAATTTATTTGATAAGGCTCAACCGAATTAGCTTTACAGAGCCGAGGATTCTTGTTCACTAAGGTACAACACAATAAACACATAGTTGAAGATGCTAATTTCAAATAACAGACTGTAGTGGTAATTTTTATACGATAGATGGAGTAGATGAAAGCATAGAGTTGATAGTTCCGTTAGAGTACGGCAGTGTGAAGATTGTATATAGATATTAGAATAGCGAACTAGGACAACTTTTAAGGAAGGTACAAATCGGTTTTTTCATCTCTCTTTACCAAACTCCCCCTTTGGAGAGGGATGGTGAGGAGTGTCCCCCCCCCCGCCACCACTGGCAAAAAGAGATGAAAACCGACTCGCTCAAGTACCAACTGTGTGTTTGAAACAGTTCTACCGATTTTTTACCACACTTCAGTTGTTATTTGAAGGAAGGCATCCAGTCGTAGGTTTGGAAATTGCAACTATTGTTTACCCCTACCACGATATGTGCTCCTGTCATCGTCGACTTGACGATCTCGAGGGGACACGGGTGGGGTAGGTGTTGCTACTGTACCTTTCGACCATTGACAGTAATTGATGGTATGCTCCCATCCAGAGTTATGTACTTTGACTATATGTCAAAATTAGCATCTTCATCTATGTAAATCGTTGACTTCACGTAGAAGTAATACTAAAAACATATAGTCAAAGTACATAACTCTGGATGGGAGCTGTGATGCTTTTTGACTTAAAGATTCTTGCAACTACCCTTGGAAGAATATTCTAAGTTTCAAAGGAAATTTCTTTCAACTTTTGCCTTCCGGTAATGCATTTCTACTCCTCCGGATTTTTTTTTAAACTTATTTCCTTTTGAAGTTTCTTCAGACATTCCCCGGAAGACTAAATAATTTTTTTTTTTTTTTTATAGTCACTTTAACACTCTTGGGTCATTCGTGACTTGTCCGGGGGTGAGAGTTGAACTCGTGACTTTGGCGTGAGAGGTATGGATGTTAACCACTACGCCGGGGTCGCCCCCACCCCGGAAGACTCTTTTGACTTTACTTATATATAAGTTTCTTCCTATTTTCCAAAAATTCCCTTTGGTTTCTACTGGAATTGTCTTCCAATTTTCATGGGAAGTTTTTCAATAGCTCCCCTGGAAATTGCTCTCAATTTTCCACAGCATCCCCCGGAAGTTTGTGCCAGCTTCCTCCAGAAATGTCTACTGCATAGGTTATTCCAATTTCCGCAAGTAAATCAAAAATGCAAAATACCTGGGGCTTAGCATGGTTTCTGTACAAAAAAGCTGCTTCCCGGGTAGTTAAACTAGTTTCCCGGGAATCTGGGATCAATTCCTAGTAGCCCTATGAGCATCATAAAGATTTTTATGGTAACCTTATTTGTTGTTTTGTTTCACATGTAATGATTAGCGTTTCAGCAATTTATAGTTTCCAGATTGATTTATTGATATGATATTCAAATTAGGAACGGTTAGATTACCGGGAACGGATTTAGGCACATTTAGTTCACTCATTTAGGCACACAAACTCCCTTACGATTTTATTCGCCTTAACTTGGACTGTTCTAAAATTCATCCATTATCAGTAGTGATCGCACACGGGCGGGATCCCTACGTTGTGTTTTTATGAAACGGATAGAATAAATATAAAGAACACTGATTACTGAGGCATAATAGACACTGTATATTGTTTATTTGTATTGGTTTTATAGTACCTAAAGTGGGTAGGGTAGTTGTGCATGTAGATGACGTTTCACAATCAACGGTATAAATATGAGAACCTTTCATTATATACCTGTAAGTTGCGATGAATTCTTAATGGTTTTGGCTTATTGCTTATACTGCTTTAAGTCTGAACACTTTGTAATTTGATCCCGTTAGTTTGCACACCGGGGTGGTGCTCATAGGGCTACTGTTTATTAATTTATTTGATAAGGCTCAAACGAATTAACTTTACAGAGCCGAGGATTCTTGGTCACTATACAATATATCTTAAAATCATAGTCAAAAGATACAACACAATAAACATTTTATCTTCCGCTATCCAAAAAGCCTCCTCCACCAGAACGGGAGCCGCTTCCAGTGGTTTCATTGTGTGACAGTTAGGCCATCGGGGGCAGAGCGCTTCCATTGCAGCAATGGACGCAAAACGTGGTCATCACTCACACATTCATCACGAAACGGTTGCTTTCCAATGTCGACGACGCGTCGACCTGCAAAGAACTGCAGATGAAGAACAATGAGGAGGAGCACACAATGGTTGCTGCCGAGTAAACAGGCAATCGCGTAACACACATTGAGAGTGGTCTGCTTCTGTCGACAGCCGAGTGAACACTGGCATAGGGTTACTGGAAGTTCAAATTAAAAGTGAACTCCGTATTAGCACGATGCGTCGTTCAAATTAACGGGTGTCCACGGTACAAGTTCTGCACGTAAAGGGAAGTGGCGTATCGTGAAGAAAAGAAGTGGCGTGTCGGGATTTCTAAATATTTTTTTTTGTACTTTGGGATTTTTGAAATTTATTGAAGACAATTTGTTGTTTTGCTTTAAAAAAATAAAAATTAAAATTAAAGGTTAAATTGACGTGAACATTGAGCTATTTGATGGATAGTAGAAGTAAGTTATAATTTTTTCATTTTATGTTCAATTCGGCGAATTAAGATGTTTCCTTGTAGAGTCCTTGATCGTGCACGGGCAGAACTTCCCTACATTGTATGATTAATAGATGGTGAAAATAAAACACGGTTGCTTATCGGGCCATCCTGCCATGGCAGAGGCATGTGAACTATTGAATTTATTTACGATCTTACAATAGAACAGTAGGCATGATAAGACTACGCTAGCGGCACTTGTATGTTGATATGAGTACTTAGGTAGGGTAGATGCACTGGTTTTGTACCAACAGTCCTTTTTCTTACCAGTCTTCGCAAATTTCAAGAGCACAAATCTCAACATTTATGAGGATTATAAATCTGTAAATTTCAGACTTTCTTTGCTTTTCAACAGCAAACAAGTAGTAGGTTTAGCTTAAAACGATTATTATTTAGTTCTAGTTCAGTTTAGGGGCTTACCATAAACTACGTAGACAGTTTAGGGGGGGGGGGGGTTGACAATTATCCACGGCCCATAAAAATTTTAATTTTGTTGTATGGACAATTGTCTACGCAGGGGGGGGGGGGGTCAATAATCAAAAAAAACTGTCTACGTAGTTTATGAACAGGCCATTATGTATATTATTTGTCTTGTTTCTAAACGATTATTTTACGCGTAATGTGAATATTTATGATTGAACAACAAATCATACTGTTTTTATTGGGGAGATTTTTAGCCGTAAGCTAGTTTATCTCCGATTCATATATGTATACCTAACGTTACTATCGTTCTTGTAATTGATTTCAATTAATGCAACGTGCAAGCTCTTCTTCGACCTTTAACTATTTTGTTGCATTTTTACTACACGTGCCACCCTTGAATGGTGCGTTGGTAAACATTTCTCCTGTCTACAATAAATACATGATTTACTACAGTTTACGCTTTTTATTTCGGGCTGTAAACACATGTCAATAGGATTGATAACAAATGCACACTTCCGCTAGAAAACAATCAAGAGATACGATGAAAAGATTGAATTTTCCTGGAGACCTTGCAGTGTACTAATAGCCATAGATAAAGAACTTCACGTAGTGAAATGATTTCATAATTGATTGCATGATATACCATTGTGTTTACTTCTATTGTTCGGGACAAGAAAATCAGTAAAAGTCTGAAGATATCTAAGTCGGCAAGTCCCATTGATAACCATTTACACGTGTTTCGCATTGATAGAACAGGCACACCTTCACATCGGAGATTGTTTTCCGGCTTTTTTCTCTTTGTAATCAACTTGAGCTTGGCGACAGACGTTTGCAAAAAAGGGCAACATCTAAATTTAATGGAATTATCATTTGACGTGGACAAATCGCTTCAAAGAATGACAGCATCAACTCTTACCTAAAAAATCTTTAAGCAACTTGTTCATTTTGGCACGCACGAACTGATAAGACAAATGTCACTCCGGTTGGTCACACCTCTCAATCGTAGCAATCTAATTCGAGCCACCACCGCGCCTCCAAACAGGAACGTTACTTTAGCAACCGGTGCGCGGTGGTGGCGCTTGGCCTGCTTTGATGAGCCATTGCTGTCAAAGAAAGAGCGCGTGAGAGCAACCGAGAGCGGATCGATCGTGAGCTTCTAAGCGGGCGAGCTTTCCATTCATGGAATCTCCGCGCAAGGTGTATCGCTAATTTGCGAATCGCGCTTTCAGTGACTTGCGAGTCGCGTATTTGAACGGTTCGATCAATGCTCAGCTGAGAAGGGTCATACCACGTGCTTAAAACATATAGGATTATTTTTTTTTTTGGTTTTTGGTGTCAACCTGACGGCTGGGACCAGTGTGATTCATCAGGCCTATAGTTACAATTTAAATGCAGAAATATTCGTTTCCGAATGAATCACACGCCGTGTAGTAGAAACGTCGGACTTAGTCGACTTTGGCGTTTTTTTTTAGCTTAAATCCGATAGCTCTTAAAGCATCAGGTGATTGTGAGTGAATTTTTGGATAACATCAACTGAAGAATGGTAATGTTGTGGAAAATCATCCTAATTGTGGGACTGCTGTTCAGTGAATTAGTAAGTGCAAATGAAATAGCAAAGCAGGAAGTGGCAAAAAGTTACTGTTCCGAGCAAGAAGATGCAAAGGACAGTTCGGATCCCCAGGTTTGCATCGACGATGGATGCTTGCGAGGGACGTTCATGAAAGGATACCGAGTAGAATCTTTCGAAGCTTTCATTGGAATACCGTTTGCGAAACCACCGGTGGGGCAGCTGCGATTTGCGGTGAGTATTTGTGAGTATGTGAGTTGGTTGGAGGAGGCGCATGGTAGCTTGAATGTGTCCTATGCTTGAATAGGTCCTATCTCCGTTTGTCGATTAACTTGATTCGCTTTCTTATGCGACATATAAGCGGTAGATTTGCAATATTGATGCATACAATCAAAAGATCAACAATCAAAAGGACGTGGTAGAAAGTGAATCATGTTAATCGATTACATATTAGATTGTACATAGAATCTATTTGAAAATTAATCGAAAAAGCAGCACGTTTCTAGGAATACTTGAAATATGTGTTGCCATGGGATCAGCTCAATTGCTATGAGTTGCGAATGTTCTACGACCACCACAAAATGAGTTGAGTCTATCAAAGGACCGGTGGGTCCGGAGAGGTTCAAAGAACGCTTTATTTATGACTATTTTGGCGGGTCGTTTAGAGGAAATTGTTTCGCTAAATTGATCAGTGTTTCGTAGTTAGACGGTGCTTCAAGTAAAAGAGATTCTTTCAACATTTCTGTTGCTTACAACTAATTTGATTATGATAGTATTATATTTGATGAAATAATGCGAAAAGTGATGGTGGTAGATTTTTGCGATCTGATGAAGAAATATTTTGAAATTTAAATCTCAAGTAGTCTTACTTATGTTAGTAGAGTACCGATAAGGAATTGGAAATGCTAAAAAAGGCTAAAAATTCTACGAGAATGGCCTAAATACGAAATTTATCCATTAATAATATATGCATTAGTATATTGCAACCGCTCATCAGTGCATTGTTTGTTTTTCTTTAATTATAGAATCCCGTGCCAAATGCACCCTGGCGTGAGCGGGGAGAATACAATGCCACCGTGGAAAAATTCATGTGCGTTCAGAAAAATGAACTCATTCCGCATACGCCGGCGATGGGGACCGAAGACTGCCTCTATCTGAATGTATATCGACCAAAGGTAAGTATATGTATAAAATACATGAAAAATAAATAAATAAAAAATTTGGTCCTGATTAGCCTCCCAAAATTTGAACTCGTTTGGTTTCAAACTGATGGTTTGTATGGGATTTTTTTTAAGATGAATGATTAGGCCATATGCCAATTTCAATCGAAATTGAAATTTCTATCAAACTGCATGCAGTATTTGTCAAATTTGCATAATGACCAAGTCCAATTAGCGTTCTCATTAATTGTCTTCAACATAATTTCCTTTATCATTTCTATTTGAGATTCCTCTAAAAAAAATTAAAATTATGGTTTGAAATGGATTGCCTTGAAATTTTCTTTATAACTGTCCAGAAATTCTATACAGATCTCTCCTAACACAAATCATGGAATTCATCCTAAGATTTAAAAGAAATTTATTCCAAATTAGCTTGAATTCTCCATAGAATTTCCATGCAATTTACCTCAGAAATTTCTTAAAAGCCTGCCCAGAATTATCTATATTCTTCTAGAAATGCCCTTGGAATTATATTCGGAATTCCCTTGAACATCAGAATTTCATTGAAATTGTTCCTTCATAATTCTATTCCCTTGCCCAAGTAACAATTTGGGTTTTATGAGGGTTCTGTAGATCATGTTTTGACTTGTAGAGTGCTTTAAAACCTCTTTAAAACTTGCAATGTTACTTGGGTGGTATTCATCTCTGAATTCCCTTGGAATCCTGTTCATTTTATTTCCTTGATTTGTTTTCCGTGCTGAGCATCAATGCTACCGACGCCAGGGAGGCAGCTCCCACACCTGGACCTTACCTAACGACCCATCAACTCATGAACCGAGGACCAACGGCTTTACTTCCCTTCCGAAGGAAGACGTGATCAGAGATGTTATGCCACATAACATCCCGGCGGCGCCGACTGGGATTAAACCCAGGCCTGCTAGGGTGAGAAGTAATCACGCTTACCACTACACCACCGGCGCCGCTAGAATCCTGTTCATAATTCACATGGATTTTTTTTTAATTGCCTTGGAACTTGTTCTTGAATTATTTTGGAATTATCCTCAGAATTCAATACCTTCTGAATATTCTTAGACTTTTCATCAGAACTATCAAAAAAATCTTATCAGAACTTTTTTTATAATATTCATTAGAAATGGATCAAGAATTATTTTCACAATCATGAAATTTTCCTTAGAACAACCCCAGAATTCAATTCTGAACTCTCCTTAATACACTTGGAGCTCTAGTAACAACTACTTTGGAACTCTTCCTACATTTGACTAGTCAAAACTCTCTTAGAGTTCTTGATGATGATGATGAAAATAATCTCATCAAAGAGTAGGGGGTGAGGGGGGGGGGTGGGGGGTGTTGTCAACCTAAGGGAATTAAAAGATTTGTTGACTGGACGAGGGTTTGTGGATTTGCCAGTCCCTTGTCACGTGATCGGGCCATCTGGTCGTTTTGTCTTCCAAAGCTGATTCACCCTGCTGCAACAAACCATCACGCAGAGCTTTACAACCGGTAAAGTATCTGCAGACATTGGTAATCCTTACACTAATGGTGGGTTCCATTCACATCACATCACATTATGATGATGATGGTCCTACCTCTTACCCCTACAAAGGTTTTAGCTGGATTTATCTTTAAGCTAATTAAGTATGACATCTTAACCAGATTAGCAAACAAAACGAACTCGTTACAGTTTCAGATGTAAATTTCCCTCAACAGTTTTCCGTTACTTCACAGCGGTATAAATGTGGAAAAGTTTAGGCGTCCTAGTCTTTGTTCACCCTTTTATATTTGAATGCCAAATCTCTCTTGGATTTTTTCTCTAAAAAACTTTTCTGTTATTCCAAGAATTTATTATGAAATGTCTTCATAACTCGGAGCATCAACATTCTCTAAATAATTCTTTAAAGTGACTGTATCGTGAAAATCTAGTTCAGTCGAAAGGGTCTTGAAGTTTTTTCCAAGATCCAACACATTTTTTTTCTGGAGAGAGGATGAAGTTTTGTCATCGAAATTCATGGAATTTTCCAGTGATCACGGGTTCCCGAATTTATCGCGAATTTCCCGATTTCCTGGTTCACTGGTCGCCTGAATTTGTTAGTAAAGACAAGTATTTTATCTACAACGCCAGTATATTTCAAAATTTTAGGTCATGTCTTAAAATTTCAAGTTTCAGAACCCTGAGTTTGTTTTCCTGAATCATGTTTTTTTCTGTTTCTGGAGAAAGTTACTAAATTTCAAATAAGATCAATTGAATACTGCGAAATGCAGCTAAATTTAGAGATGTTCAAGAAACTTCATTCGAAGCATAGGAATTTTTAAGCTTTCGTATTCAATTAGCAACATTTGCTTTTGTTTTACAAATTGTGTACATGAAAGTATTTCTAAATGCATATAAATTTTCAATAATTAGGAGCTTCGACGAATTTGTGAGATCTTAGGCTTAGAAACGTATTGATAGGATCCTGAGATAACTGAACTTTTTCAATATGCCGCACTTGATAAATTTTCAACATGTACAGGCATTTTGATATTTTTTAAGGATAGAATTTTTTTAATGATTTATTACTAAGAAACGTAACGTCACGTAACGAATGAGGCGTTATTGTGTTGATTTGGTTTATTTATCAGTTAATCAGTTTCAGAAATAGAATAATTTTCAAGATTGCAATTTTATTTATTTTTTTCCTTTGGTTTGTTTTTTTCGTCGATCTTGTTTTCCGTGCTGAGCACCAATGCTACCGACGTACCAGGAAGGCAGCTCCCACACCTGGACCCTACCTATCGACCCATCAACTCATGAACCGGGGACCAACGGCTTTACTTCCCTTCCGAAGGAAGGCGTGATCAGAGATGCTATGCCTCAGAACATCCCGGCGGCGCCGACTGGGATTGAACCCAGGCCTGCTGGGGTGAGAGGTAATCACGCTTACCACTACACCACCGGCGTCGTTTAAGATTTCAATTTTAGGACTTGACAAATTTAATCTGCTATTGGTAGCAATTTTATTTCACTTTACCAGATATCCAGTTTAAAAGTAGCACCACGAAGAACAAATAATTGCTAGATGCTTCGCTAAGCACAGTCTCTAAGCCCCTGTCCTGGAAAAAATTGGATTATTTTTGGTATTTCCTTCAAATTATCCTTTCAAAATGCCTTGAAACTCTCCTCGGAATTTCTATAAGTTAATTTTCAGAACACTCTTTAAATTGTTTTCAAAATATCCCATGCATTATTCGCAGAATTCTCTATCATGCTATCAGAGATTTTCTTAAATTTATAATCAAAAATCCTATACAAAATTACATGTTAATTCATTCTCCACAAACCATTCTCATTTTTGTTAACCATTCTTGGTGTTCTGTTTCCTTGAATTTTTTCTTCATACCTTTGTAAATCTTCTCAGAATAACTTCGGACTAAAGGGCGAACACGAAATTATTGCGACACCGAAAATGTCATGCTAGTTTTCTTATAATGTTTAGAATCAAACCAAAATTTTAGGGTAGTTTTATACATATATTTACTTCAAAAATCAAAAGAAAAGTTAATCAATGGAGCCTTGAGTGTAAAATTGAACGCATTTTCGCTTGATGCCCTCCATCAAAGTCTTTACAGTGTCATTCGGTACCAGTTTCTCAGTTTTTTTTCCATTTTCTTAACATGTCCTTCTCGTCTTTGACTGTCTTCTTGCTCTTCCGAAGTTCCCGCTTCATTATTGCCCAGTACTGCTCCACCGGGCGCAGCTCCGGACAGTTTGGCGGATTCATGTCCTTTGGAACAAAATGGACAGAATTGGCCTCATACCACTCCAGGACACTTTTAGAATAGTGGCATGATGCCAAATCTGGCCAAAATAGCGAAGCTTCGTCGTACTGCTGCAAGATCGGCAAAAGGCGCTTCTCGAGGCACTCAGATTTGTAGATCTCGCCATTTACTGTGCCCTTTGTCACGAAAGGCTCACTCCTCAGTCCGCAAGAGCAGATGGCCTGCCAAATGAGATATTTGGAGGCGAACTTCGACATTTTCTTCTTCTTAAATTTGTCGTCCACATCGAACTTGCTCTTGCCGGTGAAAAACTCCAACCCCGGAATTTGCTTAAAATCGGCTTTTATATACGTTTCGTCGTCCATCAAACAGCAGCAATTTTGTCAGCATCTTCTCGTAGAGCTTCCGTTCACGAGTTTTAGCCGTCGATTGTTGCCGCTCATCGCGATTTGGGAAGTTCTGTACCTTGTATGTATGTAGTCCAGCTCTCTTCTTCGCATTCTGGACGTAGCTCTGCGACATGCCGATCTTTTTAGCCAAATCACGGCTTGAGACGTTGGGATTTGCTTTAATCATCCGCTTCACCTTTCCCTCCGTCTTTTTGTTCTCCGGTCCCGGTTTTCTTCCAGCTCCTTTGCCGTGGTCCAACGTCAACCGCTCCTGGAACAGCTTCAACACTCTGGAGACGGTTGAATGGTGAATGTTCACCGTTTTTCCCAACTGCCGGTGCGACAGGTCAGGAAATTCCAGGTGTTTGGAAAGAATTTGTTCTCTCAACTCGCGTTGGTTCACCTCCATTTTCGTTGAATCGAAAAACACGACTTCGAGTTTGACAGCATGTACATAATACACATCAATGAGAAAGTGTGCAAAATTTGGTTGATTTTTACCCAATGGTAAAAAAGTTATGCCCTGTTGAATGTGTCGCAATAATTTCGTGTTCGCCCTTTAATCTTCAATATTGAATATTGTTTTCCTTTTTATGATAATATTCCACAAACCGGATTACTGTCAGCAACTTGCAAGGAAAAGGATATATACAGAGGAAAAGAAGTTGAGGATTGTGTTTCGTAATGCAAACCCTGAATTCTCTTCAGAATGCTCAATTGGATTTCTCTTCTTAATTCCCATAAAGTTGTTTTCAGAACTATCTTCAAATTTTCAAAACAATGCACCAGAATTTCAGCATAAAATTCATATAAATTGTTATTTATATAATCCTTTGGAAATATCCATGGAATTCTTTTCCAGTTCTCCTCAAAATTCCTTTGGAAATCTGATAAAAAATTTCAAGAATTTTTTTGACGTTTTGAAAAAAAAATCCAATTCTAAGAAGATTCAAAGTATTACAAAAATCTTCTAGTCTGTTTAAAAATGCAGTTCTATGAATTTCTTAATTTTGCCACCTTGAATATGTCTGCTGGTCAATTTCTCCAAGTCTTTATAAAATCCAAGTCTTGGAATGTTGAAAATTGCAATAAGTCCCAGAATTTTGAAGATTTTGTCTGCAATTTTCAAACATTTTCTAAATATGTCCGCGATGTCGAAGTGCTTTTCCTGGAATATTTATTATTATTATAGAATTCAAACATTCTTAGATTAATCTTAACTATCAAAATCATCTGATCATTTATCAAATTTCAATAAATTGTCTCCACGTAAAGAGGGTTTTGTAGTCAACTTCTTTTCTAACCATCAAAAAATTGCTATGAATAATTTATTTATTTATTTGTTTGTTATTATTTGATATGAGAACGATGAGATCAATTTGGCAGCGGTGGTGACAGCACAACTAAAAATCAGTAATCCGTTGTAAAATTTAATTTGACCAGCCATGACCAGTGGGCTGTTTTAAACGTAAAACTTAAGCTTGGAAAAAATGATTTCAATACTGTCACCAACTATCGAACGGCATTTAGTGGATGATGATTATTTATCTACACTGAAAAAAGTGTTCACTTTGTTTCTATTAGGAACGCACATAATATTTTTCCAATAACAAAAATAATGATTTTTATCTGAATATCACATAACGTAAGAAATTATATGCTTATAGCTTTTATTGGATACATAACGTTCATGTGATTTAGTGGCGCAATTTACAATTATGAGATCACATGAAAGCTATGTGAAATGAATATTTTCCACTAGTTATGTGATTTATTTATGAGTGTACAATAGACTGATGCAAAATTTGACTTTTTCGCTCCACAGTGCTTAAATGGTTTCAAATTGGGTCCTGATTAGCCTCCCAAAGGTACAACTCATTTGGTTAGAAACAGACTTCGCACAAGCCATTTGAAGTTTACATGTAAATTACTATGGGAAATCTCAATTTTTTGTTCATTGCCTTCTAGTCTTTTTCCATATTGAGCTGCGAAACAGTTCGATAGCTATTATTATAGAAATTTTTGTCAGCTACAACTTTGCTGAAGATCGTTTCTATGTAAAACGAGACAGGAAAAAGTTATTAATTATTTAAGAGATTGGTAAACTTATGACATGATCAAGCAGCTGCTCTGTGGGCAACACTGTATTTTGCAGTGTGACATAGTAGCCATGATTTGTGTGTCCTATTCAACGCCACAGAAACACCAATGTTGCCTGCTGTGCAGTTGATTGAGCATGATCATAAGACATCAAAGCATTGAACCATTGATAACTTTCGATCCTTGCATTTAACCAAAACGTAGTCTTGAGCAAAGTTGTAGCTGTGAAAATTTCCTACAAGTACAGTTGAAAGTTTTTCAAACAGATCGATGTGGTGAATTATTAGATAGACATGAACAAAAATCTTGGTTTTACTATAGTAATTCCCATACAAACTTCATATGGTTTGTGCCATCTCAGTTTCTCACCAAATGGGTTCAAATTTTGAGAGGTTAGTCAGGATCCGATTTGGAATCGTTTAAGTATTGTGGAGCGAAAATATCAAATTTTGCATCACTCTAGTGTACAATTCACTTCATCATCATAATAATTGCTGACTGTAATTTAGACTCCAATTTCCAGGTGACAAATTGACGTTATCGATTACGTCAACCTGTGTTAATTTTAGTCATCATTACAGACGTACAGTCAACTCTTTATTGCTCGATATGCCCGTACTCGATGTGAAGCTACGCTTCTCCGATCACCTTCCTCATGCAACTTATTTAAATTCACCGCTATAATTCGATATCCTCCCTAAAATCGGTGGTTCTTTCAATATCGAGCTAGGAAGAGCTGACTGTAGAAACTTATCAGAACAACAACTAGTGGTGACTGCTCGTTTGATAAATTACACTTACAGTATAAACAATAATTTCTGCTACTTGTTTTATTGCACTCGGATTTTAAATATCTCTCAAATCATTTATGCCACTCGCTGCCACGCGCCGATAATAAACACAGGGATCAGTCACAAATTGTTATGTCAATTATTGTCCGTCCAGCCGATACTAAAAATAGCAACTTTTATAATGACCGCAGTAAAGCTTGATAATATCTTACATGTCTGGTAACTAAACTACAGCTTGCTTTTTTTCTGAGCGGCCGAACGTAATTGATTCGATCCCGTCATAGTTGTATGCTGAGTCGGGGCGCCAATTATTGATTGAGATAAGAGCAGAATCTCACGGCCACACCTGGGAATATATTTGAAATGTTGATGACCATTATACTAGCCTGGTTTTACACACCACATCCAATTTACCGGTTAGGAGCGATTAATTGCGACACGTGTGGCTATCAAAGAGTTGTTCGATTAATTAACTATCCTCCTTGTGATGAAAAATTACTACTATACACCCTATTTAGATGTAAATTATGCACTTTTATTCACAGTTTATGGGAGCCTGCATGGAGCTTAATTGTGAATTTCCTACAATGATACACTAGCGCTCGGGGATAACCCCCAATCTGAACGTACGATTGAAGATGCTGTAACTTAGAAGGCATAAAAAGTCACTTATGACACGGGGGATGACGACGATGGGGTAATTTGGACGGCACGTGTACCGGCTTATCAGGCTTGAATGTGTAACGGGCAACGGCACAACACGTGTAGGGCCTCTCAGTGGTGGCCCAGATTGCGTTCGTTTGCTATCGTGCGATTATTTTGTTTTGTCGCTCGATAATGAACTGATTTACTTGTTTTCGGAATTGTTATCGTCTTTTTAGTTAATATTGCGCTTAAACCAGAAATGTTACTTGGGAATTGACAGACACAGTAAAATGAAAATCACCGGGGCGCTAGTGTTTATGACAATTTTCAGTATGTGCATTATCTGGTGATCTTGACCAGATGGGAAGCTGTTGTCTTCTGAAAAATTGTTCAGATAACCAAAATATTTCGATTGGTGATAAAATTAGTTCTGAATTCGACCACTACGAGTCGCTAGTGTGCGTATGAAAATTTCTGTTTTCGGCAAAGTTGTTCACCAATGGTGGAAAGGTCAGCTGTTCTAGTTGTTCTAGTAACCAGGGCCTTTCGAATAGGGAACATGAAGGAAAGAAAATGCTATACTTATTTCGAGTCCATTTAGGAACTTGTCTTATTAACTATATTCAGGTAACGAATATCTTTTACATGCAGAATTTTAAACTAATTTGTACACCATGTTGAAGGCCTTTGTTAGCTGAACAACTTTGCCTAAATCAGCAACTTCCTAGATAGACATGATCTCGAGGTATAGCACACTTTGTATTTTTACATGCCAAGCAGCGCTGCGTAGTGACAGAATTCTGAATTAATCGGACCACAATTCGCTTTGATTATCGAGGCAAAGTCCCAGTGGGGACGTAATAAAACAAAAAAACAAGAACTCTGTAACGACTAAGTAGTTTCTTCACTCAATTTATCCCAGCCTTTCTATAAACCATTGATTTGAATACAACATTGAAATTTGTAAACAACTGTACATTCCATTACAAGCATATTCTTGGCGACCTTAATGAGATAGATTAAATGTAAATATTAAAAATGGTTCACCAAGTGTGCTAAAACAGATTGATCCATCACAGACATTATCTTTCTTTGTTTGTCTCGCCAGCCAAAAGCCTTTCGATTTCACAATGTATCTTAGTTTATCAGCAATTTGTTTTTTTTTTTCGATAGATTACAAATCTAGAGTGATAAATATATTAAGGTCAGCATTGCAATTTGTAATCAATAGTCGCAGCAGAAATGTAAACTCCGAACCTTCAAAGAAATCCGATTCCACATTCGCTTACGTTCCGCATCGCTCGCGCTGACCTGAGTGTATTAACTTTTCCCGGAGATTTCTCCGCTGATTGAGCGCGATAACAGAAACGCTTATCACAGGTTTGTGCTCAGCTGAATGCTGGACTTGGCTGGCCAGCTATATGTTTTGCTTTGTTTTTATTTGCTACTTTGTCATTCGCCGACCGATCGACGGCAAATTTCTGCACCGCGTTCTGCCAGCCAGCAGGAGCGGGAGGTGTGAGAAATGTAAATGAACTCCATATTGATATACGTATAGCAAGCAAAGCATGCCATGCGGAAGCACGTGCTTGTGACCGTTTGTCTACCGCACTTTGCCGTAATCGCCTGATTCAGCAAGCCATGCTAACTTGTTTTTCTTTTTTTCTTTTTTCAGGGTCAAAATACTAGCAAAGCAGCCCTACCGGTGATGGTCTACATTCACGGTGGTGGATACTTTTCGGGCAGCACAAGTTCTGGCATTGTTGGGCCGGAGTACTTTATGGATACCAAGCGGGTTATTTTGGTGACATTCCAGTACCGGTTAGGGGTGTTTGGATTCCTGGCGACTGGGGACGAAATGGCTCCGGGAAATTTCGGACTAAAGGATCAGACTATGGCGTTGCAGTGGGTGAAGAAGAACATTGACCGGTTTGGAGGCAGCTCGACACTGGTGACCATCTTCGGGCAGAGTGCAGGAGCTGGATCTGTGCACATGCATATGATGAGTCCAATGAGTGAAGGTCTATTCGCTAGGGCTATCATCATGAGTGGTAGTGCGATTGCTCCTTGGAATTATCCTACAAAGGATCCACTGGATTTGGCTAGGCGACAAGCAGAAGTGGCAGGCATTCCATGTGCAAAGAATCTTACTTCCAGACAGGTGGTGGATGTGCTGAGAAACGTAGATGCGTTGGTACTTTCCGAGAGCATTAGTAAATTGAAAGCTTGGTCAATTGATCCACTGACCTTGTACCGACCGGTGATTGAAAGCTCGGATTGGTCCAATCAAGCATTTTTAGTGGAAGATCCACGAGTGTCTTGGCAGAAGGGTAACTATCAGCAAGTTCCTTGGATGACTGGATTCTTGCCCAATGATGGCGCCGTACGTGCCATCGCGATCACTTCCAATGCACAGCTTCTTCAGGATCTGAATGCAAATATAAGCACGCTGCTGCCGTTGTTGTTGGAAAAAGAACCATCGGATGAGCTGTTGATGGCTTTGAAAGATCGATTTTTCGCCGACAGTCCTGATGACGAGTGGATCACGCAGAAGAACACCCAACGACTGGTGGATGTAAGTGGATTTTTCAATTGATCTTCCTCGGTAAAACGTTGTCGGTGTATTGAACTATTTTGTAAATGATTGCATTATACTTTATTGATCATTTAAAATATGATTAGAATACCGTAAGAGGGGGTGTGACATTGGGTAACAATTTTCTTTTCCTACCTTATAACATTCACATTTTAGCAAGGTAAACAATTTTAAGCAGGTGAATATATTCATCGATAGTATCCCGAGCAAAATCGGTTAACAAAATGAAAGCAAATCGATATTAAAGTGTGCAGTTGCTATCATAATGAAAACTCATTTTGATTTCAAATGTTGCGACATAAGTCTGATATCATATTGTGCTTTCATTATGCAGTCAAGACTTTTTAAATGAAAGCAACTTAACTTGAAGTTCTGCTGTTTACGTCTTGTTTAAAATTTAATTGAAATTCTTCTGTCGTTGAACTAATGATTATTTAGTTGAAGATGCTAATTTCAAATAACAGACTGTAGTGGTAATTTTTATACGATAGATGGAGTAGATGAAAGCATACAGTTGATAGTTCCGTTAGAGTACGGCAGTGTGAAGATTGTATATAGATATTAGAGAAGCGAGCTAGGACAACTTTTAAGGAAGGTACAAATCGGTTTTTTCATCTCTCTTTACCAAACTCCCCCTTTGGAGAGGGATGGTGAGGAGTGTCCCCCCCCCCGCCACCACTGGCAAAAAGAGATGAAAACCGACTCGCTCAAGTACCAACTGTGTGTTTGAAACAGTTCTACCGATTTTTTACCACACTTCAGTTGTTATTTGAAGGAAGGCATCCAGTCGTAGGTTTGGAAATTGCAACTATTGTTTACCCCTACCACGATATGTGCTCCTGTCATCGTCGACTTGACGATCTCGAGGGGACACGGGTGGGGTAGGTGCTGCTACTGTACCTTTCGATCATTGACAGTAATTGATGGTATGCTCCCATCCAGAGTTATGTACTTTGACTATATGTTTTTAGTATTACTTCTACGTGAAGTCAACGATTTACATAGTTTACAGGCCCGTATTCAGTTGAACATTATGAATGCAAAATCAGTAAACAAATTGATTTCATTGAAAGCAGGATTAGTTTTCCGTTTGCTTCAACAGTGTAAAATTTTGCTCTCATTTTTGCTGTGTTAACCGTTAAGTCAACCAAAATGAGATCAACTGGAGTATTCAAAATAAGCTACATCATAACAGCAAATTTCGATTTCAATTTGATCTAATATAATATATAAAATATCTTAAAATATGTAAATGTAACGTAGCTATTAGGAGTACTCTTGGTCATGATCACAATGTACTTCGTATGTATGGCTAAAGATCGCGTGTAGCTTTCGTCTATACACCTAAAAGGGTGTTCAAACTTTTGTTTTGCTGTGGACATTTTTAAAAATGTGTTTTTGCTACTATTTATAACACTATTTAAATAAAACAACTGGTTTATGTTATTTACACTTTTATCCAGGAGTTCAAGAAACGTGCTCTAGTAATGATTTTTTGTATATTCAAGATATTTGCATCAATACACGCTTTTCACTAGTGTAAAAATCAAGCTTAAATTGATAATTTTTAAATGTAGTAGCAACCAACATAGGGGCAGGAGGGGCATAGTGAACAGGTGGGGCATAGTGAGCATCCCGCATTTTGGCTCGGGATCTCCAGCTACATGAAAAAAATCAACTGGTAGTAGGATCAATATCATTATGATATTGATCCTACCACCAACCAATTTGTTCCGAACGGCCGCAAGTCCAAGCTGGTGCATGAGATGCTCACTATGCCCCACCTGTTCACTATGCCCCTCTTACCCCTATGTGATGAAATATTCGCTGCTCATTTTGGACTTCCGATGATAAAACTAATTCGTGTGAATTTAAATGTTATGATTTAACTACTATACTACTTTTTGTCTACAGTGAACTCTGATCCTACTCTATCAATTGCTTAAAGTGAAATTAAAATTCTTCAACTGAGTGAAAAGTTATTTGACAAAAGAGCAATTTGTGTAAAAAATGAGCATGCCAACCCTGGTGCTAAGTGATTTTCAGATACAGATTTTTAATAGCTCATATGCACACAATTTTAACTTTTATACGTGCCGGGATTTCATCACGTAGGGTAGAGAACTAGTTCGGCCTAATCGCCCATTTCTGGCCTATCGAGCAGAAACCTTCATATAAATCCATGATTTCAGAGTTAACAAGTCAATTATGCGTTTGGTACGATACTTTAGTTAATAAACTACGGAACGAAGTCAATGAGAACGCGTGATATGAAGGTTTGCACCCATTATTCCCAAAAACAAAAGAAGCGCTCCGACCGAATCACTTTTTATCTTCATGTGATAGGCCGAAGTGAATTCATTGGCGTTTCAATGGCGTTTCAATGCGTTAGGCCGAGTTTTGAATCCGTAGGCCGAGTTTGGCGTCAAGAAGCAGTGTTAGACTTTTGACAATATCTCAACGCTTGGTTTCTCTTTATCAAATCTTACGGTACATACGGAAAGGTAAATAAGTTTGGAAGCCATCAATAATAATAACGTTCCGTTTGGTGCTAAACTGCGCTAGATTAAGAAAGACTAAGTGCGGGTTGTGCTTAATAGGCCGAAAATGGGGTAGTTAACCCTATATACCGGGAAAACCGGGAAAAATTCGAGAATTAAAAGCTAACTGGTGGACACCCTGATTAGAGATCTTTAGTATGACTACAATTTCAAGAAAATGTAGTTTTTTTTTTTAGGAAAAAGGCGTTTTTCTTAAATAGCACTCCCACTCAATCGAATAAGCCCAAAACCAAACCGATACCCGATAAATATTTGATGTCACTACACCACCGGTGCCGCTGAATTCATAGCTTCATTTTCTTAAAATTGCTGGTAGAAGCTCGTTTCAAAACTGCTCGACAATAATTATAAAAATGACTTTAGCTACAAATGAACTCAGACTGAAAAGTAAATTTATGCTGCTGGAATTGTTCAAATATTGATTGAAGCGAATGTAGTTTCTATTTCAACAATTACCGACAATGTTTAACCAATAAAAATTCCTAATGAATGAGGGCGTCTTAGTGGAATACCTGTATAAAGAGAGAGAGAGAACGATTAGCAATTTCCATTTAATTCCATTACCTTATTTTCTTATCCTTGATAGATACGTGTATTTTGTCTACAATGTGCAGACATCTTCAGTGTCTTGTACTAATACAGTGAGTATTAGTACAAGATACTGAAGAAGTCTGCACATTGTAGACGAAATACGCGTATCTGTCAAGGATAAGCAAATAAGGTAGTGGAATTAAATGGAAATCAGTAATTCTTCTCTCTCCCTCTCCTTATAAAACTTGCATGCTAAATTGCTTACACTGTAACCCACTTACCGTAATATCTGCAGCTCTACACGGAAGTGTCCTTCCTGTATCCGATGCACGAGGCCGTCAAGCAGCACGTGATGTCAGCAGATACCGCCCAGGCTCCGGTTAGCATATACAAATTCAGCTTCAAAGGCCCCTACTCGTACTCCTCGCTGTATTCGTTTAGCCGCGAAATGCGAAACTACGGAGTGGTGCATTGCGACGAACTGATCTACCTCTTCCGTTCGCCGCAGCTCTTTCAGGACTTTCCGCACAAATCTAAGGAGGCGAGGATGTCGCACAATTTGGTCGAGTTTTTCATCGATTTCTCCATCAATGGGTAAGTTTGCGCGAAATAGCACTAAGTGGTTTATGGAAGGGTGGGTGACAGGACCCAAACCACCGCCTGCTGCGGGAATAAAACCGGAAGTGTGACGCCAGCTAGGAAAAAGTTTTTAATGAGATTTTGGCGTTCTGCTTGGCTTTAAATTAGCTTAGTCCGCCTCAGGGCTTGTTTCTCTGGTGGCAATCGTTCGTGCAGCCAACATCCTGACTTCAGTTTAAAGAGGGTGCAAAGTTTCAGCTTTTGAAAGTAAATGACAGATTTATTATCTTCCGCCTGCTCTATAAGAAAGCGATGGAGCGTGTCGCTTTTATCGCACTTCTATTGAAAATAGAGATCTCGTTGGATAATTGGTTTTCGCAATGATGTCAGCTTTTGTCACCCGAAGATGAATGTGTCTCGTCTAAGTATAATGCACGAAAATCGTAAATTTGCACCAATCCCTGATCTTCAATTAAAGTTCGTACTCTCATTTTTCACCACAGCTTGGATGTGTCGTTTCGAGTGTTCGTCTCGAAGAACGACAGTGTGGGATGAAAGGAAACATTTTCTATTAGCTTTTTCTGTTGCAATCCACTTCCTTTTGCTATTGAATACGAGTGGTTTTGGTCCCCTATTGCGCAAGATAAACTTATGAATTCTTTTGTGTGCAGAGTGGCCAGTCCACTGAAACCCTACCGGGCGTGCAACAACGACAACGAAGTGTATCAATCAATGGACTGCGATGTGCTCGAGTTCACCAATTCCGAGGAGCAGGAGAAGCCTTTCGAGGTGCGCGTGGTCAACGGGCGGGACGAGGATATGTTCGCCTTCTGGAAGAAGTATTACTTTTGAAAAGTACAAGTGTATGCAGGTAGGATTGGAAGAATGTGCTTTCTGCGCTTTCCGTCCACCCTCATTGTTGGATCAGTGTGCAGCAGCTGCAAAAATGACGTTGTGATAAATTTCGATGTTATCGTTAGAGGTTAATAATTTAGTTTAAGCTGTAGGATAGAACTGTGCCAGGAATGAACATTTCCAAATCAATGTTGTACAACTTTTATAGCGTGTAAGATTTCTGTTAGGGACTCGAACAATGAGAAAGATTCGTATTTTTGAAGAATATCATTATCAACCAGTTTTTTTTTTAAATAGAACACAGCATTCGCTGCCTTAGCGATGAAGTATAGTTCTTTTTTTCCGAAACATCCAAATTGCAGTAGACACGAGAAGCGCTAAATGCGCATCCCTATGTGATAGTTATAATTGATGTGTCGAATCAATACGCCTGCTGCCTGCTGTCCACGTTCTCTGTAGTACGATTCGAAAAAGTTGCAAGCAATTGTATATGTTGTATGCAATATTTGCTCGGTTCGTTTCAATTACGTTCGCAGTAGGGTAGATGTACCAGTCATGGTAATACATTCCTATTGTGGTGTGTCTCTATTATGGCATATGGGTAATTCATAAAGTCAAAACTGATACATCTACCATAACTGCGTTATTGTCTCTCACTACAGAAGGCCTGGGTTCAATCCCAGTCGGCACCGCCGGGATTTTCTGAGGAATAAAATATCTGATATGGAAAAGAAGTAAAATCGTTGGTCCCCGGTTCATGAGTTGATGAGTCGATAGGTAGGGTCCAGGTGTGGAAGCTGCCTTCCTGGCGTCGGTAGCATTGGCACTCAATACGGAAAACAAATCAAGGAAATAAAATATAATAACTGTCTTTAAGTGTTCATATAATGTCGGTCAAGTGAAGTCGTAATAATATATGTTGACCTGCAAATTACAATTTGCAATTTCCCTTTTCTTCTCGTACTTCTACCGGGATTTTGGTAAGTGCAATGTACATTTGACCTAATGCGACCGGGTTATTACTAAGTCAGCAGATTTTTTCCTGAATCTTGAATTTTTCACTGCGTTCGAAGTCATCAACATTTGTCTATGTCTCGCTCAGAACTATTTACAGGATTTCAATGAAATATTCTCAACAATTTCCTTTGGAATCATTTCCCTTCACAGGGTTCTTTTCATTGAATTGGATTGAAAAATAATTTGCGATTCTCCTTTGAAAATTTATTAATAGAAGTTGAGAAATTATCTGCAGATCGATCTAAAATTTGGAAAAATCATCATAAGATTCCCTCCGGATTTTTATAACTCTACCAAGAATTCACTGATGCACTTGAATACCTCTATAAATTCTCACGCATTTCACCTCATAATTGCTAATGTTGGAGTTCTCCTCTAAATTCTTCTGAAAAATCACTTGGATTTCCCGAATTTTCCATAAAACTCTGCCCACAATTCCGTAAGAATTGTTCCATAAAAATTCAATCGCTTTGGCCCAAAAAATAAACCATTTTAACCCGTCTTTTCGGAGATGAACTAGCCATAGGCTAAAAATCTCCTTAATAAAGAACTAAAAAAAAAAGTGACCCGTAAAAATTCAAGGAACTTTAAAACATCAGGAAAAATACTGGAACATGCGTTCAATTTCGATTACAAATCGGGGAAAATTTTCCTCCTTTCCCCGAGAATAAATTATTAACCGGGAAACTTTTCAAGGGTATTTGTCTGGGCTAGATGTTCAGAAGTCTTTGAAGAATTATCAAGAAGTTAATAAAAATCCAAATAAAATTTTAAAACAATTTTAAAGGAATTCTAGAGATGACGCCAAACTACCTCAGGGAGAATACCAAAGTACAGATTACGAATGTCTCATTTAAAATGAAGTGCTCTGAGAGCCGATTTCTTTACCTCCGCTTAAGTCTTAAACCAGGTTTACCCATATAGTTGAACCTGGTTTAAGGTTTAAGCGGAAGTGAGACACTGAGACTGACACATACGAGCGTCGCTTTTGATTATTGTTTAAATTATTAAATATGCAAAATTCAGCTCTGAATCAATGTTGTGAATAATTCCAATACAATTGAAGGAAGTGCTCCATGTCCATATTAACGAGATTCTGGGAAGAATTCTACGATGATTGGATGAGGATTTTAGGTCCAATTCTAATTCTGTTTTTTTGTTTAAGAGTGCTCTGATGAGAATTTCATGGAAATCCCGTAAACTTCAAAGATGATCTCTGCGGATAGTTCTAAAATAATTCTGGGGTGATTTCTGAGTATACTTCCAAGAGAACTCCAAAGAGTTCGAAATAAGTTTCGAGAAGAACTCCAATGGAATCACATTTTGAGGGTTCAATTTCAAAGGAATCCTGAGAAGAGTTTCAAGGGTATTTTGAGATGGATTTTTGTTTTGAAAATTCTGAGGAAATACCATGGACATTCTGGGGAGAATCTTCTTCTTCTTCTTCTTCTTCTTCTTCTTCTTCTTCTTCTTCTTCTTCTTCTTCGAATTTCAAGCTTATTGCATATCGCATATTAGCTTATTGCGTGCTCTCACTTAGTGTTCTAGAAGCACTTCCACAGTTATTAATTGAGAGCTTTCGATGCCTGTACCATTTTGGCATTGGTAAGTGGCAAGTGGCAAGTTCAATCATACTTCTATGCCCAGGGAAGTCGAGAAATTTTCCAACCCGAAAAATTCCTAGACCGGACCGGGAATCGAACCCAGCCACCTCCAGCATGGTCTTGCTTTGTAGCTGCGCATTTATCAACTGAGCTAAGGGAGGAATTCTGGGGAGAATGCGAATTGAATTTCCAGTAGAATTTAGGGGAGAAGTCCAAGATTATTATAAGCAGAAATTTATGACATTTCTGAGGTTAACTGCAAGGGAATTCTAAGGAGAATTCAATTTAATTTAAAATGGATTTATGGAAGAACCTTCAGATAATTCCTGGAAGAATCATTTTAAAAGTTGAAAATAATCTACTTTAACTAATCATGTTTTATTACTTCATGCGTGAAGTTAACGATTTACATAGTAGGAGATGATGTATATAGAAAGTAGAAAGCGAGCAAAGGACAATGTTGAGGAAGGTACGAATCGAGTAGAGCAATCCAGTGAGATGCTTACATCAGATGGCGACTTGAGTTTGAAACAATCGATAGAAATGTTTCCGCATATCGGAGATACATGGACATGGATCATCCTGTTTTGCCAGTGGTGGCGGAGGAAAATACCAACAGATGAGTTTGATACATGATTCGTACCTTACTCAAACTTGTCCTTTGCTCGCTTTCTACCTTCTATTTTAAATTTTCACACTGCCGTACTATAACGGAATTAAAAATTCTAAACATTCATCTCCTCATCTATCGTATAAAATTTTCACTTTAAGTCTGATATTGACGTTAAACATCTCCAACTATGTAAATGTAACTGGTTATGGATTAAAAAACTCCGGGAAAATCCGGAATTTGCTATTTGCTGGTCGTAATCGAAAGGAAATTATTCAATTCAAATGCTCTTCATAGGATATTCTGAGATTCGAGGAATTTATGAAATGTGATTTTAAGTTCCACGACATTAAAAGTTAAATATTAAATATCAAACCGTATTTGAATTTTTAAGTCATCATTTAAATGTTACTATTGGTTAATTATTTATTATTTAAAAGCAACTATTTGGTTACTATTTCCGTAATTTTAGTCACTAAAGTCACTACTATTATATCTCATCAGCACTATCAGCCCTGTTGTTGTGACATAATATTTTATGTCGAATGATAATAGAAATAAGTTGCATTCTAATGCCCAGAGGCAAAAAAAAAACTATTGCACTTGAAGGAAAATAATTAGAGATTTAGGCCGAAATGGAAATCTCCATGACTACATAGCATATATCGCCTATATTTTATTTACATAGAATTAATGACCCTAAAATATGTTATTCCCATATTCCCATAGATAAAATTCGGACGTATTTTATTACATTAACCACAGAGAACAGACATCCAAGCTTAAACAAATTTTACGAAAAATTATGTGCAAGAATTCAAATTAAAATACGTTAGAAACACTAGCGCCACCATACGGAATGTTGCGACTCGAGTTATCACTTTGTGCGATTAATGAGTAAACTGAACTAAAATTTAGGTTGACCTTACTGAACTTATTGACCGTGAATTCAAATGAACTACTAGACTGATGCAAATTTTGAAATTTTCACTCCACAGTGCTCAAACGGTTCCAAATCGGGTCCTGATTAGTCTCCCAAAATTTGAACTCATTCGATAAGAAACTGACTTGGCACAAACCATTTGAAGTTTATATGGAAATTACTATAGGAAAATCAAATTTTTTGTTCATATCCATCTAACAATTTACCATATCGCTCTGCTTTAAAAAATGATAACTGAGCTCGTAGAAAATTTTCTCAGCTACAACTTTGTCCTTAACCACTTTTCAATATAATGTAAGCATCAAAAGTTATCAATAATTCAAGCCACTAATGCCTTACGATTATGCTCAATCAACTGTTCAGCAGGCAACATTGGTGTTTCTGGCGCTTGGAATAGAGCACAAAAATACAGTGTTGCTCACAAAACAGCTGCTTGATCATGCCATAAGATTATCAATCTCTTAAACAATTAATAACTATTTTATTTGACGTTTGGCTCAACAACTATATTCTGCTAAGTTGAAGCTGAGAAAATTTTCCATAAGTAAAGCTTTTGAATTTTTGAACAGTGCAATATGGAAAAAGGTAAGAAGACAATGAACAAAAAGTTTTGATTTCCCATAGTAATTTCCATATAAACTTCAAATGGTTTGTGCCAAGTCAGTTTCTTTGCAAATGAGTTCAAATTTTGGGAGACTAATCAGGACCCGATTTGGAACCGTATGAGCACTGTGGAGCGAAAATGTTAAAATTTGCATCAGTCTACTGCTTACCCTGCATCCGTTCTTCCAGGAATTCGAAAAGCCTCCGGAGGGAAGTGGTCGGAACATAACTTTTTCGTTGCAAGCACTTGGACCGTGAGGAGAAAATCTCCTGTAGTTCGGGCAATTCAGCATCCTTAGGAAAATTGTGAAAAGATTTTCGCTTGGTAACACCTTGTTTATTTGCGCACCAATAAAACTCGCCGTTGCGGCCCATGTTTTAAGTGGTTTAAACATACAATTTTTTGCTCACCATAATTTTGACATTTATGTTAAGATGACGTCTCGGCAGACGTCATCTTAACATAAATGTCAAAATGCCATCGACATCGACAGGCAGCGACACTAGCGCCATCACAATATTGCTAGTTTCAAATGTCTATTGAAAATACCCGTTAAATTTCTTACACATTTTAGGAATTTTACTTGGATGTTTTTTTTTTTTTTAATTCTTTATTAAAGAGATTTTTAGCCTTAGGCTAGTTCATCTCTAGGACTTGGATGTCTGTTCTCTGTGCATTAACGTTGGCGTAAGAAATAATTGTGAAACGTCTCAATTCACGTACTACAGAGATATCAGTGATCACCGAGTCAACTCGACGCCATTTTATCCTGTTCTACCAGCATTGGGCAACAAGTTGCATTTAATTTGGTTGCAATTTGAGATTACACGATCAAAAATAGAGACGACTAAAAATCACGTATAATTTTTTTGTATTTATTACCGTGATTTTTAGCCGTAGGCTCCCAAGTAACATTTTACGTTTTATGCAGTACTACAAGGCTACTATAAAATAACATTCATAAAACCCTTGTCAATACAGCTTTGCCTTTATTACATCCCCCAAAAGCTCATCAAGACTAGAATCTGTCTAGTTGGCCCACGACAAAAGCATTGAGCATACGACAAAAGCATTGAGCACCATTTGAAATCTTTATTAAAACTACAATAAAAGCCATTTGGCATCAATACTCGTGCCATTTGCCTTTGACGCTTGATAAGCGCACTAAAAATAAAGCATCAATCAAGATAAAAAGGGATACATATCATCCGCTCTTGTCAAATTCAATGTTCAAAAATAAATCTGTCATAAATTTCATCATCATTAAATTGAAATAATTACCAAAATTATCGAAACTCATATTGTGGTCTATTTTTAGGTGACAAATTAAATCTAATGTGAAATGAGCTTCGGAAGATCGAAAAATATAAGTCCGCCTTCGAAAAACGTGGATTTTACTAATTGTTTTGAATTTAGGGAAAGGAATATAGCTATTTTTTATATTAATCATTGCATCATTGCGAGATAATTTAATGATTTTCGTAATCTCTATTACTGGTCATTGATGAATTGATGAGAATAAGGAAATACCATCTTGAAAAACGAAGATAGTAAAAAAAAAACAAATAGAATAATAACAATATGGCGATTGCACAAACATTAATTTTCCATGAAATCCATAAAAAATGCAAAATATTTTAATGCTGCTTGTATGACGTTAATTTGCAGACTGAATTGTTTTTATCTGAAGCCATTTTGCTTGATCCTGTTCCGTTTAGTTTTATGACGGCATTAATGGTGGCAAAGTTGCCTGGAAAAATTTAAACGTCAAAATTTGTTTATTTTTCGATAGTTTTGTTTTGCGATCATTTACTTGTGATTCAGTATTTAAAAGACCCACTTGATTTATTTTTTCTCTGTCTCTAGGCGGATCTATATTTTTAGTTTAATTTGTAAACAGTGGAGGGTTTTCTGATACACTTTATTGATACTAAAAAGCACCAATGTATGCTGTTTGTTCCCGTTTTAAACCGAACGGCTTTATAATTGCTTTTATAATGATGAAACACCTTTATGGAGCATTTTGTCATGACATCAATAAAAAAATGCTGAGCAGGTTTATGATTGACTAACTTCACAGTTTATTAAAGGATAGAATGCTGCATTAAATTCATTTTTAAAACCAGACCCGTTGTGACTTTATCGCCAGACTTTAAAAGGTTTTCAAAACAGCAAAATTCTGAACTGCTAATCAAGAATATGTTGCACTATTGAATGCTGTATTTGAACCAAAAAGATTGCGTTTGCCGTCATAAAACCACAATAAATCAGTGTGAAAGCCAAAAGGCTGTTAAATTGTTACTTGGGCTAGTTCATCACGTTAATCACGTATAAACAGAATAGAGTGTACATACCGTTCTGATTCATATTTTGGACATCTTCATATTTCGGACACTATTTTGGACATATTTCGGACATCATTATATCTTAAAATACCTATACACCTATATCACAGACAAACAGGCCTAATTCTCGCAAGTTGTTCAACGAACCATCATTTAACGGTAAATTTAAAAGTATTGTAGTTGGTAGTTCCGCCCTCTGTGGCGCGCATAGTCAATTTCCTTTCGTTTGACGTTTACACACTTCCGCCATCTGTTCAGCCTACTACCCACCACAGTGTTCTCAACAAATGGCGGTAATGTTTTAGCGATGATGTTTTACAGTGAGTAATACTCAATGTGTTATGTCTGTTTGTCTGTGCCGGTTTTGCAACCATTTTGCATGCGCTACATCACATCGATTCACCACATTTATAGAATAGTTGTAGTTTTCAATGTCTTTCAATGTGAAAAAATATGATTAATATTTCAGACACGACAGTTTCATTCATTTATTCAATAATTTCATAAGATTAAACGACATTAAACATGAATTCAAATAACCAGCCCCAGCCGAAAGCCTCCCTAATAAAGATAAATCAATCAATCACACTTAGAAATACCTAATCTTACACGTGACGGAATCCATCTTTGGCATGCAGGATGAGACGTAAACAAACAAGTCATGTAAAATTGAGTGCTCCGAGACTGAAAAGTTCGAAAGTACGTTTGATTGACTGAATTTTGCGTCTATTACTCAATTTTATGTCAAAATTGACGCTCGACTGACGAGCACCTACTATTACATTAATTTTTCTAAGTGTGTCGGTATAATTTCAATCTTTTCTGTCCGAAACTAGAATCTCCTCTAAGACAAGTGTTTGAAGTTTGAATCTTGGTAATCCTAGTGGAATAACACTGTTTTTTTTTTTTCAAAAAGCTTTGATATTTATTTTAAAATATCATCACAGGTAGCTCAACTTGAAGGTACATCAGAAATATATCGAAGAAACGAAACTAAATAATGTGTTACCCTAAATTATATGTCCTTAAGAGTCTGAAATATGAATTAGAACTGTATGAGCAAAAGTAGGTTTTTTTTTCTGCGGGCAAGACAGCTTTCGATCATGAGTAAAACCGGAGTTAATTTTGAGTAACTCTGAGTAACTCACGTTGCTCAATATCTTATATACACATAGCAACCTGATTGTTATATTGAAAATAATGTTGAAACCGATGCCGTCAAGCAAAGTAAGTTGACGTGCTTTCTTGGAATTTCTGTGTAGGGACTTTTGGCGCGGTTCGATAGGTTCGGATTAGGCTAAATTAATTAAATAAATTCAATTCTTAGAGCAATATAGTTCACGTTTATATTGTTTTTTAGACTTCCAGAAACTCGATGATAACGTAATTTACGCAAATATATAAAAAATAATTGGTTACATATCATTTCGAAAGCTTTATTCGATTTATAATATTACTCGATCATTCTTTAGGGATTGGACGATTGATATTTCATGAAATTTTGTGTTCTGGGCACAACATTGAGGAAATAAACATATGAGGCCGTGTTTCCAAAAACGGTACGGAACTGTTTTTGGTTGTTGGTCATGGCATGATTATTAATGTTAAGGTTCCACAAAGGGTAAATAATTTGTTTACTTCTTCCTTTTGAAATATCCTTCGATATTTATTCACCATTAAATACATCCACTCATCTATGTTAATGAGTCAAACTTCACTGAAAGGCATTCAAGCCACACACGAACGACAAGCCCCGTAAAACTGTCGTGCAGTCAAACCACCACAGGAGCAGTTCGTGTGTCCACAATTCGATTTGTTAAACGAGCGATTCGATCTGTCAAATGGGCGAACAGATGCTTCAACCAAAATATGCTGTCAGACGATATTTTCTTTGATCAGAAAATCGAGACTACTTTGATCATTTTTGAGTAAATATGAGTAACTCTAAGATGTATTTACTCTGAGTGCAGCTGTCTTTTACTTTAAGATTTTCAAAACGATGGTCGGTTATTTGAGCAAATCGGTATTATTCAACTATCGTGAATTTCGTATCATATGTGTCTTCATTTATCTTTTCCCATATCCTATTGTTCCACACTAGAATCTACATTGATTGATTTTATGAAATTTCAGACTGCTACGATATTACATTTTGTAGCTCGGTATTCCTATTAAATCTATGGTCCCAAAGCCGTTTGATGATAAGTTCATGTTGTTTATTTATAATTTTACTCCAATTTGAACTGCTTGTTGAGCCCAAAAGTATTCATTTGAATGCTAGTGTGTACACTTTCGATGGCTTGTAATTAAACGCAACTATTTTATCTGATTGTCCATAAGTTTGTAGAGCACATCGCATGCTTTGGAATTTCAAGGCAGTGGCGACACCAGGAGACCAACCTGTAAACTATTATTGTCACAATTATTCCCATGTTCGCGTTTTCCTTCCGTGCCCATTCCATGCTTACCTGTGCGGAATGTCTGACTTGAAAATAATATTTATTCCTCCGCACGGGCAGTGGGAAATGTTTAACAGATGCAAACATTGTCCACTGGCGGGATGGACTCGAAGAAACACAGTGAAAACTCGACCGAATCAGCCCCAGCAGTTGTTTATATTTAGCATTTCGCATTTTTTCCTCCCTTGTCACCGTGGGAATTTTTTTCGCATGTTTTTCGGTGAATCCAATAGCGACCACCTCCAATCCATTGGTGATGGTTTTATGACTTTTCGGATTCAAACAAAATAGCAACGTGTTTTGTGTTTTTTTTCAGCGAATTTTTATTTGATTTCTTATAGGATACATATAATGCATTTGAAAATAAAAATTCCTCACAGGAAACGGGATACGAAAAATGTGTCTACAATCGAACGAGTATTCCATATTTATCGAATTATATCAAGCAATCACACGTGTTTCATTCGAAACAGAAAATGTCATGGTTATTAGTTTTTGAAGAACTCATCGATGGCACTGCTGGAATCGAACGAAGATGACTTAATGCTCGATAGACTGGAGGAGGTGTTCGAGCTGAACGACGAGGAGACGACCTTGCTGCTTGAAACGGAGCTGACAACCGACGAGGAAGACAGCAGCGACGAGGATGAGTTTAGGGATCCCGTATCGGTCACCTTGGACGATACGCTGCGTTCCGATGCAAAGGCAGATTCGGATTTTTCGACAGTCTTGGAAAGGGAGTTGGCACCCTCTTCGACGATTTCCTTCTCGCTGCTGGCACCGTAGCTCTTGGATTGGGTGACACTCTTCTCGGAAAGTCCGGCCGAAGACCGCTCGACGACGACTTCCTTCGAGATGACCGGAGTCGATGATTCGGTAATGGTCATTTCAGTCTTGGTGGTGCTTTCGGCGAGGGCCATTTTTTGTTGCTCTAGTTGTTTAGCGGTTTGACACAAAAATTTGAAATCTATGGGATAAAATGGAAGACAGAGGAAGAAAATATGTAAATTAGATCAAAAAGGAATGATGAACGAGGAAATGTCCTCACATTCTGCCGACATACGGAGAGCCAACGCGTCATCGGCAACCTACTTAAGTCAAGAGTGTGAAGGGGCGTAAGTATCTTCTATAGTCTAATGTTCCTCTGAGTTTGTGGAACGTAGAAGAGGGCGAAGAATGTGTGAAATGTGGCGACTAGCGAAATTTAAAACATGCTCTCTATGGTTGAAGTGCTGATGCTATTTTTAGTTGCCTCTACAACAAACCATGCTTTGTCTTGGTGTTTCACGCTACAGTTTGGTGTGAAAACATGAAAAGTCGGAGTGCATGATCAGTCCAAGGTCGGGCTTTTATTCTGCCTGCGAAGGCGGTGCGAACTTTGAGCTACAAGTGGCCCTCATAATCACGAGATGCTTTCTTGAATGCTCTGAGGATTGTTTTCCGGTAATGGATAACAACTACGTTGCGGAAATGGACAAACCATTTCAGTTTGGTTAAAATTGATTGTGTTCATTGGAATTGATGATTGCGTATTGAAATCTTTCTATAAATATTTATTCTTCGAGCAATCAAAATCCCTCAGATATAAACACGCTCAACGGCAATATGTAGCCAACGGATCAATTAATGTTGCTAGAACAGAAGTTGTTGTAGATTGTGATGATGTTTTCCTCAGTCTTGAGGAATATCAAGATGTATGGAGAATATCAAGAAATTTTTATTTGTTCGAATGATTGAATCAGGATTCATATGATCAAAGTAGATGGTACGAGTCATTTATGTTGAAAAATATTAGAAGAAACGGGATTAGAATTCTAATTTCAAACAATGCGTTATTATATTAATAATAATCAAATAATCGCATCGATCTCCACGAGATACGAGAGAGAAGTCCACGATCGATGATCATGTGCAGGCATGGAAAATCATTTGCATTCATTTCATACATTCATTTACATTCATTTTCCGCTAACTTTTTTCATCAACAGCATTCCGCAAAATGATGTATAGAGCTTTTGTAGGTTTTGTTATTAACTACAACTTTTGTACATAACTCAAATCTGTATCTCCTATGCATCACGAACTAGAGCGGGCAGAACTTGTTACTGTTTTTCAGTGAATGTAAAATACATTCACTGAAAAACAGTAGTGCCTTCTGTTCGCTCTGGTTCGTCATGTATAAAAGATACGGATTTGACTTGTTAACAAAAGTTGTAGCTAATAACAAAACCAAAAGCTATATACATCATTTTGCGGAATGCTGTTGAAGAAAAAAGTTAGAGGCAAATGAATGTAAATGAATGCAAATGATTTTCCATGCCTGATCATGTGACGTATTGATCTTTTGTCCACTGCATATCAGTTGCCTATGCGGGCGAACTCAAAATGATTAAGTACGATCTACTTTATACCTACGTTCATCTTGTTATTGAGTAGAACAAGGTGCTATGAAGTTTTGGTTCTACACATAATATTCATCATTAGTTTCTTGAGATGTCCCTTGTAAAACTTCGTGAAAAATGCAAGCACGCTCACACAGTAAAGATGTCAGACGAAATGTGACCATCAAAGCAACACGGAAAGTAGCAGCTCCTAGTGGGACAGACGGGTGTAGAATTTCCTACTTCCTAGCAAATTTCTTGGCATATCAGTCTCACTGGATATTTTTTGTTTAAAAATAGGAGTAACTGATTTCATTGAAGGTAATTTATATCACTAAATCATATTAATTATGTTGAAATGTGAACAATGCACGAACTTATTTTAACGTATATTTCATCCAATTAGCAGAATTCTAGATAGAGCAGGAATCAGGGCGTAACAGCTTTTGTAAACAACGACTTCTCTCGATGATTTCTAGGACTTCAAGGCATGCCTACCCAAAGTAACATAACCATCGGGTAGGGGAAGTCTTCTCTTACCCAATGGTGATGTTGATTTGTGTTGGCCAGCCTTGACTTTTTAGAAATCATCGAGAGAAGTCATTGTTTACAAAAGTTGTTACGCCCTAATTCCAGCTCTATCTATAAATGATTAAAAACATTATTCGCGTTTTTCTCAGACACAGATTTTGCCATGGGACATGGGACATGGGATAGAAATTCATAGAAAGGCAGGCTATTAAAAAAAAAACTTGTGTATTGTATGTGTCAAAAAACGTTAGCAGGAACTATTTTAAACTTACAATAACTAGCAAGTGAATCGAATCAATCGTTATTTGATTTGATTCCTTCTTTAATTTAAAACAATTCTCGAGTAAATATAACGTAAGTGCTCTTGTATACAATGACTCTAAACGTCAATTTATCGAATCTGATAGCTCGCCCACACAAACTATGTAACAGAACCATTAGGTCCTAAGTAACATTGACAGATTCTCTTCGTCGATTTTCTCGTTGCATCTCCACAGCCATTGAAAGACATTTCCAGCTATTTTCAACACACAGTTCGTTGGAAGAAACTATTATCAAGAAAGAAGAAGAAGAGAATCGATCAATATTACTTAGAACTTAATCCATTGTTCTGCTTAGTTTGGTTTAAGAAGTGATTGAATACAAAAGCACTTACGTCTGTTTGAATATTGCTCGAGAGAATTGTGTGAAATGAATTTAAGTCATCATCAATGATAATTTAAACTTACAGCAAAATGTTATACTCTCACTATAGCGACATGAAGATTATCTAGAACGACTTTCTTTATTTTGAAATTCCATGTACCGACAGTCCCTTGCGATGTCGATATAGAGAGCTTCAACTGTATGTTGCAGGGTGAGGCTAGAGTCGGTGTATAATGAGTCACGCCAAGAGAAAAACAGTTGAACTCGCATCACGGTTTTCGAAAGATTCCGGTTCTTTTCATTTGGCAACAGAGGACTTCTACATCAACTTCAAATGACTTCTAGCGAGATAAAAAAATAGCGGTTGTAGAAAATCATTATATCAGTGATTTTGTCAAATTATCTTAACAAGAAATAGTAGAAATTCTCATTACTGATCATTACCAAACATATCCCATGACAATTTAATGCTCACTGCGTGTTTATGCTCATTTCTTCGAATATATTTTATATTTTATTGCAATACCTTTCGTGAATCTTTCATAGCATCGTAATGTTTGTTTACTTTGCACGATAGGTAGCCGGTTTGACAGTTCAATAGGTAAACTTGGCTTCACTCTTGGCGTGACTCATTATACACCGACTCTAGGTGAGGCAATCGAATTGCAAAACTTTGACAATTTGTTAAACAAAATGGTATACACATTTGATAGTTAGTGCACACAATGATGTTCTGAAACTAATTTTTGAGAATTATTAATAAATTTACCTTTGAGAACCCTCGACATTACGAGATATTTACTGCGTAAGTATCCTGGAATCTTGGTATACAAGGGGCAAATAAAATGGCTGAACAGTAGCTTTTAAGTGTTGAGTATAACATCTACATCTCTTCTCGAGATGTGAAGATAGAAGGCGTGGTCTCCGACGTGAGTCTGACTATCGAGGGCTTGAAACATGGCTCGGGTAGTTTAAAGAACTTGACCTTTGCAAGACGGTAAAACAGTTTATCAGCATTCAGACTCGTTTCGGGTTATTTTCGCAGGTTCAGTTCTCCCAAACTTTATTAAAATTTATGGGGATTTTCCCCGGTGCCGTTGTTTCAACAAAGGATATGCAATTGTACCAACTACAAAGGCCAACTATTGCGGCAACAAAAGACGTTATGGCAAATGTGGTGAAAAACACAAAGAGGATTCTTGCCACAAGGAATCAGTAAAATTCGGTTAGTGTGGCGAGAATCCTCACCTCTTGCAGGAGTGCCAGATAGTGTTGGCAAAATCAGCAATCAAATGATATTTTCCGCTCTCATACGCTCTCAATTTCACGCGTGATATTGGAACAAAATATCATGCTTGATATTGATTTTACAAGCTCCTTTGATATTGCGAGACTATTCACAACGTGTTAAACTCAAGCTGAGAGTTGACTCGACACAAAAATAAGTCCGTTGCATATCGTTTTCTTAGAAAGAGAAAATATAGTTTGCTATCTTCTTTTTACTCTTCCCCGAAGAGTAAACAGACACGACACGAAGTGACTGCTGCCAGCCGATATGGAAGTTTCGGTTGCGTTCGGGTGTAAACCAAAAATCATGAAACTCAATCTCACCACAGTTTGTTGAGATTTTCAGCTGGTTTGTTAGCTTGATATTCCGAGCTGCGCAGTTATTTTCTTGTTGATTTTTATCTTCGAAAATCAAGCGTGATGAGATTTGATTTTTTGAAATTTTCCCAGCCAGATGTACAAACAACATTCCGATAAAATGCCGCGAGCAATGGAGGCTTCCATCAGTCATATGCACAAATGGTGAAGAATGCATCAGCCGTCCAAGATGAAAACCAATTTTTGATTTTGTCAGCTAAAGAACCGGACTCTGACTCATCCGATGAGGGTGATTCTACGCACCTACACGCACCTTAAAAAAATGACGGATCCTCAAAAAGAATATGCCCCTCCCCGAAAGTGCGCCGTAAGTAAACTAACGTCACATCCAGAAGATTGCCAAATTCTTAGGGTACTGGGGATGAAAAAACGAAACCGAAGGCCCCTGATGATCCAATCCTAGACTGCAGCAGGAATTTACAGCCATTACCCAACCAAGATAAGAAAAAGAAAAAAGCTGCTCTTCAAACTTCTCAAAAGACATTCAAGTCCGAACGAGGTTTGCATGCTTTTACGGACATAGTGGGATTAAAATTAAATATGTTCAACATACGTTAGACCAAGAACCTCCATTAGCCGTAGTTAACTCTATCATCTAGTTTCGATTCTTCCATCCCCAGTATTAATTCTGGGTGATATGAACTCCAATGGTATAGGGTGGGATGGTCTATATGATGACAATAGAGCGGCTATTTTTTACGATTGACAAGTGACGATTCAAACATGACTATTTTGAACCAGGCTT